TGTTATAATATAGACACCCCTCACATTTATAGAGAGAGCAGACTACCTGCAATCATATGGAATGGAGCCCACCAGGGGTTTCATATAGCTTCAAATTTTCTATTATAGTTTCTATCTTGAAATATCAGTTTTCCTCTGGAGATTACAGTTTTTAACTTGATTTTTCCACTCTGTTACTTTCCGTGCTATATAAAGCAATATGGTAACAGGAGGTACCAGCTCAGTGGGCACAATAGACTGATCAAGCATGTTAATGAAGTCATATTTTTAGGTTCTATTGTTAAGTTAAGAAGACATATTTTAGGTTCTATTGTTAAGTTAACCTGTTAAATAGAGGATATAAGAGAAACAATATCATGCCAATATCTGTGGAGTTTCGGCACTTCCAGATCATATCAATAAAGTCCACTGGACCTCTGTCACATCTAGGACACAGATCTGTGTCTCTACAATTCCATCTATGTAAGTTGACTGGGGTGTGATAAATCCTATGAAGAATAAAAAGTTGGATGAGTCTCTGCGTCGGTGACAAGGATACCATAGAGAGGATTGTAAGGCTTGCTCCCATAGTACCTCTGTTAATGGGCCTATATCTTCCTCTCATTCCCATCTAGCTGGGATGTAGGTGCGTGTAAGTATACAAATTCTAGAATTTAATTGTGGTTGTTGAGAAATCTGCATCCCACAAAAATAGCGCAAAGGTATGCCATACATTTTTTTTTCAAATTCTTTATTTTAAATACAACAGTTTACAACCATAGAAAGTAGTAGTACAACAACAGAGGAAAAAAGGCTATATCTGCACGATCACGGTACGAAGAAAGCATAAATAATGGCCCTTGCATAGATAAATTCCCTCGAAGGACACTGTTGCGTCTTTTGTCAGATATATGAGATATAGAACCTAGAAAAGGAAAGGAAAAAGGGAGAAAAAAAAAGGGCAAAAAAAAAAGGGGGGGGGGGGTGGGAAGAAGGGGATAAGAAGGACATGAGGGGGAAGAAGATTAAGGTGGTGTGTTGAGTGGGCACATCGAGTAGTAGAGCTAAGGGGATGTGGTCTTTAATCAACAGGGTGACTAACTTCGAGAAGGGACTTTCCCTCCTGCGAAAAAACAAACATGTTCCAAAGGGTCCATGTTTTGGTATATACCTCATGTTTATTTTGTTTTGTCAGTACCAAGTCTTCCATTAAATCCAGCTCCTCCACCTTTTGAAGCCAAAGTCCAATAGAGGAGGTTGTGAATCTTTCCATCTAAGGGATATTGTCAAGGTCCTACCTTTTTCCTGAGGTTATGTTACTCCATGTGCTGGCGTCCATCTTGGATTTTTGCTGTGCATGATGGGAATCCTTTTATGCCTTCAGGTCTCTGAGGTCCATCCCCCAGAGGGGTGTGGCTGATGACATATAAGCCTGTGGTCCGCACATGCTCTTTGCACTTGTGTCTTGTGTCTTGGTGTTGCTATTACTCTGTTCTGACTCTCGTGACTATCCTGGTATCTGATTCGGCTTGTGACTCGACTATTCTTTGTATTCTCCTTTGATCTGACCCTCTGTTGCTGAACCCGGCTCGTGACCTGTGATTCTCGTCTGCTGTCCTGTACTGTTTTGTCCTGTTGTTGTTGACCCGGCCTGTCTGACTACTCTTTTGTCTCTTCCACCAGCTACACGCCATTGGCGGTGGGCCATTACCGCAGCTGAGGTGTCTCGGGGGCCGCGACCTGGTTCCTGGCTGCGTCAAGTCCATCCCCACCATTAGGGGCCCTGGTGAAGGGCAGCCTGGGACTTAGACTCTGCGCCCTGAGGGACTTCGGTCTGTGGGTGGTGGTTGTCGTCAGCCAGTGCGTTACATTGTTAGGCCTGCCTGTCTGTTCCTCGGCCCCTGCCCTGACAGATATATAGGGTTTGGCAGCGTTCAGAAGATGCCACAGGTTGGAGCATTTGTAAACTTTAGCCGGACTGTTGGTAACATAGAGAAGAAAAAAATGCAGAATAAAAATGCAGAATCATCAGGAACCTGATGGTCAGTAAATTTTTGGACGATCCGACAGACCTCTCGCCAGTAGTGCTCCAACCTGGGGCATGACTAGAAGATATGAAGAAGCATTCCCCTTTCCAAGAGACAGTGCCAGCATTTATCTGTGGTAGTTAGGAAGAATTTATGAAGAACTGTTGGCGTACGGTACCACCGGGATAAAATTTTGAACTTATTTTCCTGAATCTTAGTGCAGAGGATATCAAGGTGAAACAAACTATGTTGGTTTTTTGAGATTCCGAAAAAATCCTCACCAGGTCAGACTCCTACTTGTGTAAATAGGATAAGGAGAAGTCAGAAGAGTATACAACTTAGACATACATATGGGAGTGCGCCATTATCTGAGCAGTATTCCTCTAGAGTGGTCAAACTATGCCACAAACCTTGGGCGGAAGGGAGGGAACAGATAAATTTATGAAGCTGCAAAGCTTTCCAGAAGTCAAGATGATAACATCCAGTAAGATTCATCAAGATCTGAATAGAAGGCCAGGAGCCAGTTTCCAAAAAAGTGAGAGGCTTGAAAAATAACCAGAACGCAGCATGGTCCGGAAAGCGCCCTCACCGAGACCCGGCATGAAACGTGGATTATCTAGAATCGGGAATAACGGGGAATTCCCTGTGGAAATGGGTGTAATCGAAAATAACCACGAGTACACCCGCGAGGTCATGCTGATCAGCAGATGAGCTTTGAGCATAGAGGGTAAGGAACCATGACATCATGGGACTCGCTGAAACGGAAACAAACTCTGATTCTGTTCAATAAGGGTCCATAGTTTAGTGTCCCCTGTGCTGGCACCAGTCCACCAGACATCCTAAGTGGGCCATGGCAATAACCTGGATATGTGAGTAAAGAACCCACAAAAAAGAAATCCCAACAGAGAAACAATCCGCGGCTTAAGAAATGCGTTTTATTGAAAAATATGAAAAAAAAAAAAATACAATTACCCCTCCACCCTGCACAGTATAAAACCAAATGACAATGATGTTACTACATAAAAACACATGGCCGGGCACACAGGCACACTTACCACCCACACCAGAATGGGCATGGGGGGAAAAAGCCAATGAGGGCCAAAAAAAGTATGAGTATGGTTGGTTGTACAGAATAATTGGATGGATGATATCCTGTACAACAGTGGTACAATTAAGTTGTGTAGAGAATGCTGACCCTTTAAAAGCTAGTGTGGGCCTGCTGATAGTATCTTTGCAGGTCAGGAACAGCCAGACCGCCAAATTGCTTAGGTATGGTAAGCAATCGGTGCCTGATACGAGGCCTCTTATGTCCCCAGATAAAGTCTAAGAGTATGGAGTGTGCTTGCTTAAAGAATGAGGATGGAATATAAATCGGTAAAGCTTGGAATAAGTATCAAAATGTAGGTAAAATACACATTTTGATGATGTTACAACGTCCAAACCAAGAATGGAGGCCGCCACGCCATTTGTCTAGCAGAGTATGTACCCAATTTAAAAGGGGCGAAAAATTCAAGGTGATTGTGTGAGAAATTTGGGGCAGAATATTGGTATGTAGGTAATTCGGTGCTTCATGGGTCCATTTGAATTTGTAATTCAATGGAGGTCTAGTAAGAGACAGCGACATTGCGACACACATTGCTTCCAATTTAGTGAAGTTTATTTTAAGATGGGATAAAGATCCATAACGCTCAAACTCACATAGTAGGTTAGGGAGGGAGATCCTGGGGTTTGTTAGGGTGAATAGCATGTCATCTGTGTAAGCAGAGACTTTGTATTGAGTATCTCCCATACACAACCCCTGGTTATCAGGATTTCTTCGGACAGATCAGAGAGTGGACACCCCTTCCTAGTGCCGTTTGTATTAGGGAAATGATAATATCCCGTTCACCTTCACAGATGCAGTAGGTGTAGTGTAGACACTGGAAATCCAAGTAATCATGTTTTTCCTGAGGCCCATGTACTGTAAGATGGCCAGCATGAATTGCTAATTCACTCAGTCAAATGTCTTTTCTGCATCTGTACCTAGTATAAGACAAGGAGTATTAGTCTGTTTGGTCGTGTGAAGCAAGTTGAGAACCTTAATAGTGTTATCTCAAGCCTCCCGGTAGGAATAAAGCCCACTTGGTCGAGATGGATTAGCTGTGGTTTAGGTGGATTAGATGTTGTAATCTGGCCACTATTAGTGAAAAGTTTCAGATCAATATTTAAAAGAGAGATTGGTTCGTAGCTACTGCAAGATGAAGGATCTTTTCCCTCTTTTGGCAGAATGGTAATATGTGCTTTCAGTGTCCGAAGGAAGAGAAGCAGTGTCTTCCAACGTATTAAACATTTTAAGCATTTATGGGCCAAGATTGGTAAGTAGCAATTTATAATACTGAACTGTAAGGCCATCAGGGCCAGGAGCTTTACCCTATTTGGTCAAATTAACAGAAAGTCATAGTTCATCCAACGTTATAGGAGCCTCCAGTGCTTGACGGACTGAGAGGGGCAGTTTAGGCATACCGGAGGATATCAGGTAATCCTCTGCAGGAACTGGCGGAACAGATGTAGTATGCAGTTTATATAAATAGGAGTAAAATTCCCCAAACGTTTGGGCAATTCGGGCAAAGAGGCCTGCTGACCATTCGCTTGCGTTATGTGCAGAACGTTGGTCATTGCTCTCTGGTCCTATAGGGATTTGGCCAATAACTTGCCACATTTATTACCGGATTCATAGAAGGCACATCTGCAGGTTTGGAACGTGCCATACATTTTTGGTAAATGTTCACAGCATTGTGTTTGAAGAAAACAAAACAAAACTTACCAACATCAAGCAATAGTATATTAAATGAGGACATGGTAAGTACCTATCATTTTTTTTTTACTTGGTCCATGTTTTGTGTTTATGGGTACCACTTGCATTCTTTAATGAGACTAGCTCATAGAGCAAAGATCATTGTGACTGGCTAAATTCAGGCCAGTTCTCATCACTAACAATATCTTATAACCTCATAGGGGGACAAGACCAAGACAAGAGAGCACTGCTAACTATGTCTCCTGCCAAAGCCCCATCTGGATTCAGCCAGAAAGACCTTCAGGAAACCATTGTGTATTTTTTCTCTCTTCTCAGGTAAAGGAAAGATGAAGAACAAAAGGGGTAAAGACGACAAAAAGGGCATAATACACACACAAACATAAGCTGTAAGGAGCTGAAAAATACTGGCTGTGTTGTTAAGATATTTCATCTCAGATTTAATGACAAATAATCCTTTATATCTGAATATAATCATAAACTCAGGGCCATAAACCAAGGTTTGCATCATAAACACCTATAATACTACCAGTCCTGAAGTGAAGCAATCCTACAATAAGCGGATTGTTAACAAGGCCAATATTGAGCCGTAATTAGTGTAAAACTAAATATTTCCTGACGAAGGAACAAAGGTGCTGCTATATGTGCGAGTTTTGTTGATGGAACACATTAGCTTAGCATACCATTGCGACATTTCCTGTGTCAGCAAACACATATTTTTACTGCAAGTTTTAGAATGGTATTTCAAAATTAAACCTGAAAACATTTTTAGTGCAAAAAGGACAATAACAAAATGTTACAAATAATACATTTTCAGCTCCAAATGAAATTTTAGAAATGTACTGAATTTGAGCATTATTTTGTATGCTTTTGTAAAATTCCACATTTATTAGGAGACGACAAATGGGTTGACTCTACACAGGGGTGGCTGCAGACCATTTTTTTCACTGGTGCTGGGAGCATAAGTGGGAAAGCTAAGTCCTTGATCCTGAATCCCATGTAATAATAAATTGCGGAGTAAATTTTTTATTGAGAACTTCATATTTGATAGAAAGTAATACTGCAAAACTAGGAGATCAAAATGTAAACGGTATAAACAATCTATACAATACCCACAACAAGTAAACCTTGAGTTAGGCTAGGTTCACACTTGTGCGACCTGAGCTCTTCATGTAGGCAGCCCAATCATTTCATTGGTCTACCTGCAGAAACTCAAGGAAAGAAGTCTTTGAATCTTTTTTTAATTGGTGCCTCTCTGAGGCATATGGTGCTGCAGCATCATGCGATTTAGTGCACAACAACAAGCGTCTTTACCCCCATCTGTAGGGAATTAAGATATATTGATACTCCCACATGTCTGCTAAAGAGCAGCGTGTTTTGCCTGTAGGTTGGAAATGTGCACAATTGTGTTTAGTTTAAAGTCAAGGTGAATGCAACAAAACTCGAGCATGACCAAATAATAAATTGGGTGCTTTGAACTTATAACTAAGAACCAATGTCCAGTTTCCTATTTTACCTCCTCTTTATTACGCTGATTATCATACCAGGGAAACTGTGGTAGTCAGGGAGCTGAGCGTGGAGCTACAGCAAGAGCAATAGCAGCTTGTGCAGTGTGCTGCATACAAATAGGAGTACGAGTTTTGCTGCATGCACTATGCCAAAATTGACTGCAGCAAACTTAAGGGTTTTTTAGCAGTGTACAGAGTTTGTCGCAGTAAAATATGGGTGACAGCTTGGTCCTCACCGGAGTACCCAGCTAACCGGTAATGGACCAGTGACTGTAGTGGCCCTGGGTTACTTTGCTGCAAGCTGACACCAATTCAAGCCCTGATCATCGCCACACCAAGGGGTCCCAGGAACAGGATGACTATGATGTAGAGATGGGCTACAAGATAACAGAAGGTCAGAGTCCCAGCAGAGGTTGAGGCAGAGGGTCTGCAAGAGAATAGTTTACTTCCAGGCAGAGGCTAAGGCAGGCAAGGCAGCAGTGGGTGTCCAGGTGGAGGAGATTGAGGCAGGAGGCAAACATGCGAGTAAGGCTCAGTTCACACTAGCTTTGTCAGCAGGCATCAGACAAGCCTTTGGGAAGCGTTTTTAACGCTTCTCAAACACCTATGAAAATTCTGCACATGGCAGCACACAGTGCTGTTCACACTGAAGCATTAGCATTGTGTTGCGTCGTGGCAAAACTGACGCCTCGTGTTGAGTCAGGAGGAGTTGTAGCCTCCCATTCAAGTCTATGCCACTCTGCAAACGCCTGGCAGGCAGTGCGGTTGCGAGGCGGTTGCGGAGCGTTAATACCATTTAACTTCATTATAGGCATTTGTGGTGCGGTTTTAATGCCTATAATGATAATCAATCACCTCAAAACTGTGCATGGGGCATTTGGGGAGCGTTTGAGGAGCATTAAAAACACTTCCCAAATGCCTGTCAAACACTATAGGGGCATTTGGCAAGAGTTAGAAATAAAGTCCAGTGTGAACGAGCCCTAATACTGGCCATAGACAGATCAACATTCAGTTGGTTCAACAGGAACAGCACGCATTACAATTAGTGTGCAGCTGTCCCTGTTGGACAGAAGTCGATCTAACGATCAACTTCTGTGATCAGAGAAGTTGGAAAACTGTTGTCTATCATAGCTGCAGCCACTGATCAGTGCCGGGTCCCACTGTCAGAATACAATGTCCTGGCAGGGGTATTCCTTCATCCATCTCACTTTTGTGTTAGTTTTAGTTAGTTTTTAGGTTATTTTTTATTTGGATAGCATGCCAGATGTTTTAAACATCTGTAAGATGTTTGTTACTGCCTATGTACCCGCAGGGGATATTTCTGATTTCTTCCAGTCCCAGAGATATTGTTGTCATCAGGACTAGAAATAAAGAGAAAATTTTATAACGGGTGCATAAGTACCATTTTTTGTACAGTAGAGGTGGACTAGAAGCATCATCTGTTTTCTGTTGCTGTCTGTGTACATTAGAGATTTCCGCTCACTTTCTATCCTCTTTGACAGTGTTGTCACTGGAACAGGAAGTGTGGTGAAATCTCCACAATGGAGCAACAATGCTATTAAAAACTATACATAAAATTCATAGTGATTCTAAAATAAAATATTTGCCTAAGTGTTATGTACACAAAATGAGTACAGTATGTTGTATATTAGACAGTATGTGTCAGAATTGCTAAGGTGCCCAAATTATCATACACGCAAAGGGATTGCATGGGATACTGCAGCAGAAAAATGGTGGAAAAGACATCCAGGCAGTAGTTATGTAATACAAATGAACACTAGCACCACAACCACCTGTCTGCTATAATCAACATCTAAAGACCCATTTTATATGATCAAAATAGGCAAGTGAACTGCTGGAAATTGGTCCGTAACTTAGCTTTTTTACGAAAATCACACGAGCTTGTATCACAAGACCTGGGCTGAGTAGCACTTAGAATTCCAATTGCAACTGGTTTTACACAATTTTATTGAGAAGTCATTTGTAGCCATGCATAGCAACTGGCATAGTTACTGACTAAAGTATGATTTCTGAAGTTATTTGTTGCATAATAGTGAGATTTCTGATAGAGAGATAGAGAAACTCAGACACTTAATACCTTTCTTCTGAAATGGTTTTATCAAGATTATGTTTATTATTATACAGGATTTATATAGCGCCAACAGTTTGCTCAGCGCTTTACAATATAAAGGGAGACAGTTCAGCTACAATACGATCATAACAAAGGGATTAATCTAATCGGTTTAGATCTTCATTTTCAGTTTATGTGCAAAGCAGAGGATGAATGAAATATATATATAAATCTCCAGAAATATTTTTATTTTTTATCAGGTCTGATGTGCGTGATTTGGGAATGACCCTCATTTTGGATCTTCGAGATTGCACAGCCAACAAGGAGGCTTTCTTAGAAATGCTTCACAACAGCAAGGTAACACTGCCATATGTTTTCTCTTCTTTGAGGGGCTATTTAGAATCTATAATGAGTATTATGAATATGACAATCAGCTCTGTTGTGTGATACAAGGCTTAGAGATGCTATATATTAACTTGTTGGGAATCCATTCCAAAAACATGGACACCAATATAGCGTCATCTTTTCTTTCTGACATTGCCAGCCTTCACTCTTCTGGAAAGACTTTTTACAAGGTTTTAAAGTGTGTTTGTGGGAATTTTGGCCCATTTGGTTAAAGGAGCATTTGTGATGTCAGGAAGTGATTATGGGTGAGAAAATCTAGCTTGCAATGTGTGTTTCAATTTATTCCAAGTAGTGTTGAGGTCAGAGATCTTTGCAGGCCACTTGAGTTACTTCACACCAATCTCATCAAACTATGTTTATATGGATCTGACATTCTGAACAAGAACACAGTCATGATGGAACAGAAAAGAGCTTTACCCAGACTGTTGCCCTAAGGTTGGAAGTGCTCAGTTGTCCAATATGTCTTTGTACAGGATTCTGTAGTATTAACAGTATCTTTTTACTGGAAACCCCTTTAGGAAACATTAAAAATTGGAGGGGTGTCTACATACTTTTGGCCACAGCCTGCTTTTATGTGACTTCCAGATTTCCAATACTGCAGTTACAACACTTTTCCATTCCAACAGTTCCGTTACAACACTAATCCATTCCAACAGTGCAGCTACAATACTATATTGAATTTAGGCTTTTAACCACTTGCCTACCTAGCACTTATACCCTCTTCTTGCCCAGGCCAATTTTCAGCTTTCAGCTCTGTCGCACTTTGAATGACAATTGTGCGGTCATGCACGCAAATAGCGCTTTCTTTTGGTGGTATTTACTCGCCGCTGGGTGTTTTATTTTTTGTGCTATAAACAAAAAAAAGAGCAAAAAATTAAAAAAAAAAAAGTTTCTTTGTTTCTATTATAAAATTTTGCAAACAGGTAATTTTTCTCCTTCACCGATGTGCGTTGATGAGGCTACACTGATAGGCGGCACTGATAGGCATTGATAGGCAGCACTAATGGGCACTGATGAGGTGGAACGGATAGGCAACACTGATGGGCAATGATAGGAGGCACTGATAGGCGGCACTGATAAGCTGGCACTGATGATATTGCACTGATAGACGGCACTGATGGGCGGCTGTCAGAGATCGCCGCGGCGCTGGTCCCGACGCATGCGCAGTAGACCATCTCATGCGGGGATTCGGGCGCTAGGACTCAGTCCACCACGACGACGGAGTTCGCGGTGGACTGAGTCCTAGCACCCGAATCCCCGCATGAGACGGTCTACTGTGCATGCGTCGGGACCATCGCCGCGGCGATCTCTGACAGTGGCACTGATCATCAGGACACTGATGAGAGTGCTGATCACTTCCCTGACAATTGCTGGTTATCGGCAGTACTTTCCTCACGCTGTGACAGCGTGAGGAAAGTGCAGCCGATAATTGGCAACTGTATTTACCTGGTGATCTGCTGTGTCATTGGACACAGCTGATCACGTGGTAAAAGGCCGCTGTGATTGGTCGTTTACCGTATCACATGATCAGCTGTGTCCGTAGGACACAGTGATTACCGGTGTGGTGCCAGGTGCGCGCCACTGGGGGTGCGCAGGAGGCGCGTTCTTGAATGACGTCCATGGACGTCCTCCCAGAACTAGACAATCGCGCTGTAGCCATTTTTTTGGTTATAGCGCGGTAAAGAAGAGGTTAATAGCAAAAGTCCTACCTAAATGAGGACACCATAATATACCTGTGTTCCTCTTCGATTTATTTGGATTGTGGCTAAATTGCCACCCCACTGTTCAATTATAGGGGGAGGTTTACAAAAGCTGGTTCACTCAGAACCTCATACACCTGTGCATGGTAGCCAATCAGCTTCTAACCTCAGCTTGTTCAATTAAGCTTTAAACTGATTGGTTTCCATATAGAACTGCACAAGATTCTAAGTGAACCAGCTTTAGTAAATAAACCCCATAGAACCATTACCAGCTACTGAGTCAGTGTCATGGTCAAGCTTTTGACTTGTGCCCAGAGTATTTGCTCAAAGCATAAACATGCATAATCACCTGATGTTTGCATGCATGGTTATTCCACAGCTATTCTTAGACAGGCCATACATTATGCATTTTTTTTTCCTTCAATGACAGGTTGAAGCAAAGAAAATTGCTTGATTCCCCCATCAACAAAGTTAGTGTTGACGGGGGGAATCCCTCCTGTAGCGCTGTTGTATTCTGCTGGTGGGGAGCCACCAGCAGTGCTTGGGTGACAAAAACACGACAGACTTGTTGTGCTGACGTCGATCGATAGATTAACGAGGCTACCCATAGATGGCTCAAAATTTAGCTTGCTCCTGATGAACCAGCCAAATTTCTATACATCTATCGCTGGATTTAGTATAGGTTCACATTGTAGTGGGTTTGCGGCCCGCGTTTGCATGGGCACGGTAGCCCATTCTTTGCCTTTTCTGAACAAAAAAAAAAAATTAGTAATGCTTGCAAAAGTCAAAGGTAAAACAAGGAGAGGAGCATATAGTCACAGAAAGTTTGAACATACCATTGTAAAAGCATAAAGGGACACTAAACTCTGGTTTAAAAAAAGAAAATTCTATTCAAGCATACTGTATGTTCTTAATTCAAAAAAAGTTCCTTCTATTGCTCTCAGCATTCTCCAAATCTCCAAATTCCTTTTTATTGCTGCTGCCATCTGACTTCCTGTTGGAGGTTGGCTACATTCATTCTCTATGGTTCTACTGTGTGTAGGAATGTAGCCATCCTCTTCTACTTATACGGACTAAAGACTTGTGTATATAGAACAGTGTGCATGACCACAACTAACATGCATTGCTTGTTTCAAACAAATGGAAGTGAGTAGGAAATGGAAAGATTTAGGAGCTCTCAAAGGACATTACAAAGAGGCAGAAAAGCACAATAAGAATCAATTTCATGAAAAATAGATTACAGTGCCATTACTTAATGTACAAATACATTTTGAAAAATAAGTTTTAAGATCCAGAAAGGAAACAAATCATTCAGGGGAAACACTACATGTGGTTGCCAAGAGTCAAAAATCGACTTGATAGCACTTTATAAAAAACTATGGTAATAGATCTTTTCATCTACTTCAGATGGCTATATGAACATTTTGCCTAGACTATAAAATAATGGAAACTAGGAAGCAGACAGGGTCCATTGCTGTCACTATAAGGCCTCTTGCACACTGCAGCTTGAAAAAGCTCAGTACAGTGTTCTCTTTTACCCAGGTAAAATGTAGCCTATAATTTACAATGTGTATTTGCACACAGGTGCATAAATAAGCACCACATATTCCTTAGTATAAAAAAACAATTAGAAAAATGCGCATTTTCGGTGAGTAATTTACGCTGCCTGTGCACAAATACGTGCATATGCATGCAAATACGCGCAAATGAGCATAAATATTTAATCAATTTTCCCTAAGGATATATTGTGCATGCAAATTTATGAACACACATATGTACGCAAATATGCGCATAAATATGTGCGAATATGTGCAAAACAAGCACCTGAAATTACGTATAAAAGAAGTAGATGTTCAAACTTCAGTACTGTGTGCAAGAGGCCTAAGAAAACCCACCTGAGAAATTACATGCAGCCATCACTAAAGTGTGTGCATATAGACAGGAAGGGGTTTATTTACTAAAGCTGGAGAGTCCAAAATCAGACTCCCTTCTGCATAGAAACCAATCAGCTTCCAGGTTTCATTGCCAAAGCTTCATTGAACAAGCTGAGGTTAGAAGCTGATTGGTTTCTAGGCAGAAGGGAGTCTGATTTTGGACTCTACAGCTTTAGTAAATAAACCCCGAAGAGTCTGCAAAGAAGCTGAAGGAGATCAGACGCATTGCAACTTTGGATGAAAAAAGTGAAAACAAGCATTTTCTTCTATGTTTTTGTTATAGATCTGTTTTCCCTCTGACATAATAGAGTCCATTTCTGTTATTCAGTTCAGGAAAACAAAATTAATGATGCAAGGTTTTATGATAATAAAAAAACCTGTGATGAATGAATCCTTTTTTTATTAGCTGTTTTTATTTTTGCACAATCATCATAACTAAGAGTTTCTGTCTACAGGACTCAGTTCACGGCTGTATAAATCGCACCTTATTTGTTTATGATGAAGAGAATGCTGCTACAGTTCAAAGTGACCTTCAACAAACACAGGCAAGCGCTTTGTACTAAATATAGTAATGTGTTACATTGCACATCATTAAATCAACAGGGAAATAAGTACACAATGATGCAGCTGGGTGCCACACCGAAACTGCTCATCCACAGGCATAAAGACAGCCATTGATGGAAATGTTTTGACAGTTCACACGTGTTACTGTTCATCAGTGTTTCCATAGTCCAGCAGATTTTCCTGGACTGTGAAGCATTGCTTTAAGTAAGAAAATAATCTTCTAGAATGGAAACTCTTTGGCGCTTTCTTTGGTCAACATCAGACTTTTTTTGGACTTAAGAAATATTTCTGAGCAGATACAAAAATGAATATAAACTGTCTATATCTAAATATATATCTATATCTATATATATCTATCTATCTATATATAATATATATATATATATATATATATATATATATACACAGACAAGCCAATCCACATTATAAAGTTCTATTTGTGCTTTTTTACAATAAACCCACACACAAGGGCTTTTGGCTACGCTTACTGAAGTAGACACCACTCTTTTAATTTTTTTTATAAAGGGATGAACTGTTGCTGTCAGGAGAAAAAAGTGGTGGGCTTTATGATTATATTGAATGCTTGAATGATTCCCTTTCCCCCTGAAATGCACATCCACTATGAAGAACGGCTCATCAGCTGACCATGAGCAATAAGGAATGTCAAACTAGAGCCAGTGGCCTCCAGCCTGTGATGTTTCTCAAGTGGTGGGGACAGCGTGTTTTACCTTGGATTCCAAATAGAGGTCAAGTGGACAGTATTTTTATTTAGGCCTCATTTACGCTGGCACATCTTCGTTTAGCTAAATGCAGGAGACGTGATCTGAGAAGAATAAACACGTTTTAGGCTTTCCAGATCACTTTTACCTGTGTTTAGATGTTCCTTCTTTAAAGAATATGTGACCCCAACAATTCACATTCCTGATATGTGTCTGTTGTACAAAGTATTGCTTCTTTCATGTGAAATACAGTACATGATGATCCTGCCAGTCTCTTCTTTCCTATTTTAAACTGACCACACTAGCCATGGGAGCACATCCTACCCAGCATGGTCAGTTATCTGGCTATCCTGGGAGCTCAGCCTTCTTGTCCTCCAATGATTAGACTTGTGCTGGGCCTCCCGCCCCCGCACAGCTCTTTTCTGGGAAGATTTGTATATTTGGTACAAGAGGAAACAGAGGGCCCTGCTCGTTAGAGCTTACAATCTGCTCACTTTTAGGCAATCTCTGAAAACCTATCTCTTCAGGGAAGCCTATCCTGCCCTCAGCTAATACTGGAATCTTCTACTCTTCCTACCAGTCCATCCCCCCCAGTTACTACCTTTTGTACCACCAGCCCCTCCATCCTAGATTGTAAGCTCCAAAGAGCAGGGCCCTCCTATCCCTCTTGTATTGTTGCTGTATTGTCTCCCACTATAATGTAATCGCTGAGCAAACTGTTGGCGCTATATAAATCTTGTATAATAATAATAATAATATATATATATATATTAGATTGTAAGCTCTAACGATCAGGGCCCTCTGTTTCCTCTTGTACCAAATTGTATTGTAACTGAGCAAACTGTTGGTGCAACAGTTTATAAATTCTTTATAATAATAATAATATATAAACATTTTGCCTTTCATATCCTTATTAAACTGAGATGTTTTACAAGGAAAGAGTTCACATATACTTCAGAGCAGATTGAGGTGCGTCTACACACAATTATATTAACGTTTCCATGCGTTTAGCCGCCAACTCTAAACCGCACCCCCAGCCTAAATCATGACGTAATCCCAAGGTGAGTTAAAAGCTTATATCCACTTTGTAGAGCAAGCATAGTATCAGTATTAGAATAATGCCTTTTCAATAGTGATCATTTTAAATCAAAATCACTTTTGTGTTAAAAAAGCATTATTCGAATTTTGCCCCCATGCTTGCTTTGCAAGGTGGGAATCATCTTTTAGATATGAACTCAGAAGTTTTGTGGCACTGAATTGCCACGCTGGTGTTACTTTAGTCCTTAGGTTTAAGGGGACTGTGGTTTAGAAAGTAGGAATATTTCCAGGGAAAAAAACGTGGGGTTCTATTTATAAAGGTTCTCACACAAAAATCACTGAACTTTTAGCCAACATATCTTTAGAACCTAAGTCAATTAGAATTGTGTGTGATTCCTCTTTAAAAGATGTGTGAAAAAATGTATAGACTCATAAGTGAACTGGTATGCATGTTCAACTATCTTGATTAAGGGTTGAGCACTTTTAGGGTCCATTCACACTGACATTGTAATACAGCCGCTGGTATGTGATGCGGTCCAGCGGGTTCACTCCTCTGTACTGCACTGTTCCCTTTTTTTGTTTGCTTTGTTAAACTTTATTGAAATTTCACACCGACATTTTATAAAGTTCAATTGGCTGCTGCGTGGTGTGAGGCCGTGATTTGCGCTGCAGAGCACTGAAAAAAAAGAAGTGAATGCAGTACTTTATTTCAGCGCATCATGCCTGCTGGGAACATATTTTGCCTTGTCATGAAGTGGGTCTGGAATAACCACCCATTGGAGTCCCACTGCATGTGGTGTGAATAGACCCTTAGGGCATGATTATTATTTCAGGTACTTATATAGCGCCATCAATTTACGCAGCACTTTACATATATATATTGTACATTCACATCAGTCCCTAACCCTCAAGGAGCATACAATCTAAAGTCCCTAACCTACATTCATACATACACATACTAGGGCCAGTTTAAACAGGATCCAATTAACCTACCAGCATGTCTTTGGAGAGTGGGAGGAAACCTGAGTACCTGGAGAAAACCCATGCAGGCACAGGGACAACATGCAAACTCCAGGCATGTGGTGCCATGGTTGGGATTCAAACCAGCGACCCTAGTACTGCCAGGCGGAAGTGCTAACCATTTAGCCACTGTGCTGCCCATTTTATGTGTAGTTATACTTTCAGAGGGTGATTAACAGATAGCGAGTAGGCGATACATCCCCTTCTTACTGCCTGCTTTAACCGTTAAAATGCCAACTTGGCACGGTCCTATTTATTTCAGTGGGTCATGTTTGACATCAGTACTGGATACGACATGCCAGCTACGTTTTGCCGCAAAGCATCGCAGCCATGGCATGGGTACAATCTTGAGCAGCTGCTTTTCTGTGTTTAGGTAACTGGTTGAAGGGGCAGTAAAACCAAGACTCAACCACCTGCTTTTACCGCTCACAGCCTCCTATGTGAACAAGCCCTTATTTTATACTCAGTCTGATGGGTTAATATATGCATCAGAATAGCTTGTGTCATGTTTCTGTGCTCCCCTTGTATAACTGTATATGTATGTTAATTAGTTTACAAGTAAGATCTGGAATTAGCACATACTTTATTTATGTTGAATTCACTACTGTCTGTATTTCCTGCAGGTTGTGTTAGCATCAGAACTGACAAAGTATGTTGAGGCTGAAGAGCTCCCGGAGAGTCTTGGAGGAGAGAAGCCTTATGTGCACGCTGAGTGTGTGGGAAGCCAACGGGTGAGACGTAGAGCAGTGCACACATTGGATTTTATATGGGATGTATAGGATTTGTACAGATTAAACAGGCTCTATATAAATGTAACATTAGGTGTGGATATTCTACAGTAATGACCAGAACATTCACCAGAAATGGCTGAATGTTTCAAAGCTATGTTGACATATTCAACATAATTAAAACTGGAAAGGCAAAATGGGCTAGCCCTTTGACTCCCACCACCATCTCCAAGCTCTGCCTACCTGCTGTCAGTCATACCTGCACTCATCTTTTTGCTTTGTTTAAAGTAGAAGTATTCATCAAAGCTCTATTGGCCCTATTTCTTCTGTGGGTCAAAGGAGTGCACTTCACTCTGCTTTCCTGTGACCTGGATAAAGTCCGCTGTTGGCTGACTTCAATCAGGCAGTCCTAACTCTGGATGGAGCCAGCCACTCCTGCCCTCTGCACAGCCTGGCACTCTAGTGAGCACTGGAGGAGAACAGAGAGCCAGAGACTGACAGTCAATGGCTCAGTGCTCAGTGAAGACCAAGAACTGATTAATCAGCAGTCTTTGGCCTCAGTTTGCAGTCTAAAGGCGGCTGGTGACAGATTCAGCATTGGAGCCATGCTGAATCCACCTAGGTGAGTATGAATGTTTGTTTGGTTTAAATCCCACACTTCTCTTTTACCTGTTCACATGGGAAGAGAGAAATCAAGGCTCACCCTTTCCTAAAGTGTGTCCTGCCATGGAGCCTAGCTGTGTGTTTTCTTGCAGCCATTGGGTGCTGAAACTCAAATGCTTGGTTCCAGTTTCTCAGATGTTGCTTCTTCCTACTATGTTGACGTATTCAACAAATTAAAACTTGAAAGGCTAAATGGGCTAGCCCTTTGACTCCCAGCACCATCTCCTAGCTCTGCCTACCTGCTGTCAGTCATAACTGCACCCATCTATTTGTTTTGTTTAAAGGAGAAGTATTGTCAAAGCTCTATTGGCCCTATTTCTTCTGTGGGTCAAAGGAGTGCACTTCATTCTGCTCTCCTGTGACCTGGCTAAAGTCCGTTGTTGGCTGACGTCAATCAGGCAGTCCAGGCTCTGGCCAGAGCCAGCCACTCCTGCCCTCTGCACAGCTTGGCACTCTAGTGAGTGCTGGAGGAGAAGAACAGAAATCTGGCGACTGACACTCAATGGCTCTCTGCTCAATGAAGACAGAGAACTGATCAATCAGTTGTGTTTCGTCTCAGTTCTCAGTCTAAAGATGGCATGTGACAGATTCAGCATTGGAGCGAGTCTGCATCCATCTAGGTGACTATGAATGTTTGTTTGGTTTAAATCCCACACTTCTCTTTTACCTGTTCACATGGGAAGAGGGAAATTAAGGTCCACCCTTTCCTAAAGTGTGTCCTGCCATAGAGCCTAGCTGTGTGTTTTCTTCCAGCCATTGGGTGTTGAAACTCAAATGCTTGGTCCCAGTTTCTCAGATGGTGCTTCTTCCTACCAGTGAAAGTACCTTTACCAGAGATGCCACCAGGTACAACAATGTAAGCTGGCTCCAGAGTTTGACTCCCTTTCCTATTGGCAGAATTGGGCATTGAGCCATGCAGCTTAGGAGTATCTACAAAACCTTGGAAGAGAAAAGGCTTATGTTATATTTGCTGAGTGTATAAAATGATCGTAAAATGATAACAGATGAGGCAGAGCAGCCCTGACTTTGAGCTGTATATTGGTCATATGGGACTTGCACAGATTAAAGAGAGCGGTGTAGGAAATTGACATTAACCATCTCGGTCATCCCTTATACATCTCTTGACTGTAAAATACACCAGTGCTCAGTAAATCCAGATTTATGAATGGCTTGGTCAAAACCAGATGGTTTGTAACAAGGAACGAGGACAAAAATAACCAGACGGTCACATCTGGTCTGCTGAAGTATTTCTGGCTTCCAGGCATCCTTGAAAAAGCCTTGTGCATATTTTTAACTAAAAAGAGCACAAGTTTTTTGTTGATATTTAAACATTTAATATGTTTTTCTTCATAAACTTAAAAAAGAAGGTTTTCTTACAGATTCATAAAATCCTGATCTGTAAGCCTTGTTTTGCAGACAGGAAGATCCTACACGGGTGGGTGCGGAAGGCCAGACTTATTCAGCAGTGATTGATTACATGGGGGAGGGGAAACTGTGCGTCTTCCAAATACTCCCATTTCCTTTACTGCAGTTATACTTGTATATTTAACTCGCCCGAGTCACCCCCCCCCCCTTAAAAAAAGTTTTGTTTTTTTTTAACTCTCAGTCGCTTTTTTGTATTATGTTGCATGGATGGACCTGTGTATAAAACAGATTTTTTTCAGGATAGGAAGCAAAATGCAGTTGCCCAAAACAACTAATCTTTCACTGATCTGAGTCGAGAAAAGTGAAATCTGGTGGAAAGTTTTAATTACTTTTATAAAGTGCTGATCAATACATGCTTATTTATGTAAAATATGGAAGGGGCCTCTGAGAGTTGATTTTAGAAAAAATCTCTCAGGATGTGCAAAACCTGGCTGTTGTCAACAGGGGTGTCTAAATCACAATTCTGAGTGCACAGAATTACAAACCCTTTTGCAGGTAAGTCATTTCACATATATGAGGGTAAACTGTACATTCTGTCTGCTTGGGATATGGCTTTAAATAGGATTTTGCAGTCCATTTAATAATCCAAATTATCTTACATCTATATTAATGAAAAGTAGCACACATGAGCAAGAAAGTTCCTGTTGTTTTTATGACAGCTCAACATTGGTAAATTTGAATGTTGAAATAAAAGCTGCCCTTTAGTCTCTTAAACCAGGATAATAGTTATATTTCATGTAGAAATAATTTTAGGAGACAGCAGCCACAATCCAATTAAGAAAGTGATAGTCAACATGAAAGATGTGCAGTGTTTTATTGTACTTATTACAATACTTTTTTTTATCTATGTAGTTACAACTGTTCTTGCCAATTGTATTACAGCCTTGTGTGGTTTTGAGGAAAATGTGGTCTCTGTATTTTAGAAGCTTTTCAGTAGATGGGTTTATTCCATTATGAATGTATTCCATTCTTATGAAATGAGAAATAATAGCGGTGGTTATTCTGTTTGAAGCCACAAATGTGAGTGCTCTATAGCTAACTGGTGGCCCTCCAGCTGTTGCAAAACTACAAGTCCCATCATGCCTCTGCCTTTGGGAGACATGCTTGTAACTGTCATTCTTGTAATGCCTCATGGGACTTGTAGTTTGGCAACAGTTGGAGAGCCACCAGTTTGACACCCGTGCGCTATAGGATTGTATATTATACATCTCTAAAGCTGAACTCCAGGTAAACAGCATGTACACAGTTAAAAAAAATACATATATGAGTACTGCTTTACAAGCCATAAGGTCTGTAATTGTGTTAAACTGGTATTGTGATCCAGGCACCCTTCTGTGCCAGACAGCAGAGCTAGCCTTCACTTTTCTAGACTGCAAATAAAGTGTAATTCCAGGCAAACCCCAACTAAGTCTAAATCTACTCCCATCCTTATTCTAAGACTGTGCTATCTGTCTTGTAAAAGCAATGATGCCTGTACTTACCTATTCTAAAGCCACTCCGGTCCATTCACTTGAACAGCTTCCAGCTCTGGCTTCATTGTAGAGGAGGGACAGCCGATAACGGCTGCCCTATAGTAAGCCTATGGTTGATGTCATTGCCTGGGCTCTACAGCTGTTGTTGGCTGTCCCTCCTCTACACTGAAGCTGGTGCTGGAAGCCAATCTTGCGATCGGACCAGAGCCGTTTCAGAATAGATAAGTATAGACTTTTTACAGAGTAGATGGATTCTTAGAAAGGGGGTTGGAGTGGATTTAGGCTTAGTTAAGATCAGGGCTTTTTTTCAGCAGGACCGCATGGGAACACAGTTCTGGCACCTTTAGCACTGAATGTATGTAATGACAAGGGGTGCTGGGGTGTGCTGGAGGATCTGTTGTTTCTGGATTCTGGGGGATCTATTGTCACTGAAGGGGATCTATTTTTGTGTGGTGGTCTATTGTTTCTTGGAAGTTCTGTTGTTGCAGGTGGGGGAATCTGTTGTTGATGGGGGGTCAATTGTTGCTGGAAGGGATCTTCTGTTCAGGGATGGGTCTATTGCTGCTGGTTGCTGGAGAGTCTATTAATGCCGGCTGCTAGGAGTAGCTGCTTGGGGCCTATCGTTGATGGGGTGGTATTTTGTTTTGGGGATCCATTGTTGCTGTAGGAATCTATTGTTGCTGCGGAGGGGGGGGGGTGGCTATTGCTGCTGGCTGCGGGGGAGCTATTTCTCTGCTTTTGTTATCATTAACAAATTCCATATAAAATTATTTAGCACGACAAAATGATACTTTGCTATGTATTCTCTAAAAGGAGCGGTACTGGGAGGTGGGTAGGGGGTGGAACCAAGTGACGGTGCTCGGAGGTGGGTAGGGGAAGGAGACAAGAAGAGGGGAGTTCCTGCACATATTTTTTTTAGAAAAAAGCCTTGGTTAGGATATATAGTGGTATCTCGGTTTACAAATTTAATGCGTTCTCTGGGACATTTCGTATTGCGAAAAATTTGTAAACTGAAACACGGTTTCCCATAGGAATGCATTGAAAACCAATTAATACATTCCGGAGGTCAGAAAAAAGTAAAAGAAAAGTCTTTTATTTGTTCAAAACTCTTTATAAAGTGCACTTTAAAGGCATAAACACTGTACAGGGATATGTTAAGAAATTTCCAAAATGGCTCCAAAACTCAATGCAAAATCCGTTCCAACACCTCCACACTCGACGCCACATGCTACCCACAGACTCCAGCATGCATGAAGGTGGTGCTATAAACCTCCCAGGTGCAATGCATCCTGCGGAAACTTGCTTCGTATTGCATAAAAAAATTGTAAACCGAGGCATTATTTTCAATGGATTTTCATTCGTAAACCAAAATTTACGTTAACCGAGGTGTTCGCAAACCGAGGTACCACTGTAACTGGAATTCCACTTTCAAGTATGTATAAACTCTAACATTAATATTTTCTTATTTACGCTCTTTGGTGTGTAAGGCCCCTTTCACACGAGCGTACCAATGGGGTCCACCTGTCCGTTTTTCAGGCAGAACTGATCGGTCCATCCATAGAGTTCTATGGACTGGTGGGTGTCAGTGGACAATAGTCCACTGACACCCGCCTGCATCTGATCCGATCCTGTACGCCAAAAACAGACGGATGGGGATCCGTTTCCCATCTGTCCAGGGGATCGGATGACAATTGGGTGGAAACGGACAGGTGGTCCGTTTCCATCCGACCATCCCATTGAAATCAGTGGGCAGAGGCAGCAGAGCGAACAGAGACCTGTCATCGGGAGATCGGGAGAAATCAGCGGAGAGATCCCCAACTGAGTAGCCGGATCATGCTGACGGATCTGTCCCATCTGAAAGGGGGCTTATATATACAATTGAAAGCATTTTAATATATCTCTTTAACAAATTTTAAATAAAATATGTTAAAAATGTTTATGCAACTTCATATTTACTACTCTTCCATTGCAAGGAAATTAGTGAAACATTTTTAAGTATTAAGTGATTTAAATTGTGTATACGTCCATTGATCATATGGTACTTAACTATAACCGTTATGAATCCAGGATGCTTTTAGGAAATGCTAATGTCTGCATTGTAACGTTAGTTATCTAGATATGGAAATATCACTCTGTCTTATACTATGTGTGACATTTGCTCTGCTCTCCTCCATCAGTCTCTCAGCAAGCTCCACACATTGTGCTGTGATGTACTTGAGTCTCTGGAGAAGGTCACACAAGAGGTCAAAGCTGACACCACAGAGGTTTGTCACCCGTAACAGATTGTTGGAATTTCATTTGATTGTCACTCTTTAAAGGGTCATTAAACCTAAAATTCAAGTGCAATTCTATAAAAACACTGTGCTAATATGCTGTCCGGGTATGTGAAAGTTATGATGGTTTATAACAACTCACTCACAATTAAAAAGGAGATATTTCCCTTCACAGACAGATTAAATGAAAAAAAAAGAGACTTTAACATTTTTCTGGATTTCTGCATGAATATGATTTGTTCTAAGCCATAGAAATAAATTAAAATAATCTTATTTATATAAACCCATAAAATTAACTGTTTTCCAAAACTACATTTAAAGAGTAACTCCACTTTTGTTGCAAAAAACAAATTCCGCTCTGGATGATCTGTGTACCTTGCAAGGATTTTAGCAAACATTGTTACAGATTCCTACCTTTTGTTATTCTGAAAAAATAGATGTTTGAGTGTCTGTGTCCATGTGCAGAGTGAAACTGTATGGGAGTGATTGTCAGCAGCTACACCTGCAGGGCATTAATGAGTAAATGGCAGGGTCTGCATCCCATTAGGCTAGGTTCACACCTATGCAGTTTGCATTTGACCCATTTCTGCATTGCGTTTTGCATTGTGTTTTGCGTTTTTGTACCTGCGTGTTTTACACGTTTTTTTTTTTTTTCATTTTTTTTTTCTTGTTGCTAGGCAGATTTAAAACGCATCAAAAACATGGCAAAAATGCACTACATGCTTTTCTGTAGCATTCCATTGAAGTCTATAGAACCAAAAATGAAACTTTTTGCTTTCAAAAAAGTCCCTGACCCTTTCCAAAAAATGCACCGGGTGAAAACGTAGAGATGTGAACATAGAAAATCATGTTAAATGGACTGAATGCAAAATGCTGCAGAAAACGCTTAGGTGTGAACCTAGGGTTAGACATGAATATCTTACCAAAAATGACATTTTTGTTGCAGGGGATGCCACAAATCTTAATGCAGACTTCAATAAGTAAGCCATTAAGCCAATCACTTAAGCAGGAATTGACATTTTCAGGAGGCATTCTGTACACCATCTGTGTACAGAACACCTCCAGGTAGCCATATTGTATTGCATTTTACAGAAAATTACAGAGCTGCAGATTGAAATGGAAAGGTCATTTTTAATAACATTCAATTACACAATGACTTGCGTTGTAATTGTAAATGCTATATTATTATTATTTATTACAGGTACTTATATAACTCCATCAATATACGCAGCGCTTTACATATATATTGTACATTCACATCAGTCCCTAACCCTTGAGGGGCGTACAATCTAAGGTCCCTAACTTACATTCATACATACACATACTAGGACCAATTTAGACGGTCCAATTAACCTACCAGCATGTCTTTGAAGTGTAGGAGGAAACCAGAGTACCCGGAGGAAATTCACGCAGGCACAGGGAGAACATGCAAACTCTAAGCACGTGGTGCGGATTCAAACAAACGACCCTAGTGCTGCCAGGTGGAAGTGCTACCCATTTAGCCACTGTGCTGCCCTTATATTATTTTTATTTGCTAATTTTTTTCCTACAAAAGTGGAGATACCCTTTAAGGCATGCTCTTTGTACGGAATACCTCCAGGCAGCCATATTGCATTGCATTTTACAGAAAATTACAGCACTGCAGATTGAAAAGGAAAGGTAATTTTTAATAACATTCAATTACAATATGACTTGAGTTGCAATTGTAAACGCTATATTATATTTTTTTTATTTGCTAATTTGTTTTCCTACGAAAGTGAAGTTACCCTTGAAGGCATGCTGTGAATGATAGCTATCACAGCTGCTTGTTTTCTAAACCAAACTGTCAAGCCATCAAATGGCTGGGGTCATAACTGACCACATGTGTAGCACATGGTAGTTGCAGACCAAACAGAGTATAAGATAGTTGCTTTCATGCCCGTAAAGGATAGAAGGGGTTGGTTCCACGTAAAAGAGAAGTTTAGGATTATTTTTTTTTAATTATACTTACCTAGGTGGATCATTTTGTAAAGCACTGCGCAAACTATTGGCGCTATATAAATCCTGTATAATAGTAATAATGCAGCACTAATCAGATAGTATTGGGGGAGCAAACACTTTGGTGTTGATCTACTAAAGGCAAATAGGCTATTCACTTTGCAAGGAAAGTTGCAGAGCTTAATGACTTGGTGAAATTTCACCTTAAAACAAACACCCAATCATGTGCAAGGAAAATAAAAAAGGCAAATCAGCATTTTTGCTTGCACATGATAGGACAATGGAATGAGAGGACAATGGAAGTCGGCAGGACTTAATTTCATTCACTAAGTTCTTGGGGAAATTTCCTTGCAAAGTGAACAGTCTATTTGCCTTTAGTAAATTAAACTCTTTGCCCCATACCCGGTAGTTAATGTTTTCTATAGAACTACTGTAGTGCCAAGGGAAGGCAGCTGGGAACACTAAAATGGAAAGCATGGGAGGGCACATACTATTCGTACTGTATATGCTATTGCTGTAATGTAAAATAATAAGAGACTTGATTTGAAAAAAGGAGGATAAAACAAGAATACTATTATGTCCATGTGAAAATTATGGTTGGGTTATTTTTTTTAGGACATTAAGTGGTTAATTTCTCATCACCGAGAAGCCATGAAGAAAACGCTGACTGATGAAAGATTGCAGAAGTTGCAGAGAGATGGAGGTACTCTTGTTGCCAGACTCCAGAAGTCGCCTTACTTGAGGTAAGCTCCAAATAGTCAACTTTTCTGTGACTTCTTGACACTAGCGGGAGGTAATAACTTTTCATTCCTTTGTGTGTGACAGATTATATGACCCAGTGACCTTTGGTTTATATGAGAGAGTAGATGAAGCTTTGCATAATCTGGTCCAGCTGTCAAATCAGAAACTGCAAGATCTTGAGGCAAGATTGCCACCACAAGACTGTCGAGACAGAAGTGAGGTAAGGTGATCACAATTCATATGTCTGGGAAGATCTAGAAAAAAAGGATTAATACACACACACATATATATATTCATATCTGCCTTTCTATCTGTCATCAATATATTAGGTTAATATCATATATTAGGTTATGAAATGATTGTCATCTGCACCTACAATTTGGCAGAGCAATATTGCAGTGCTGCTAAACAATTATAGCCTGCTTAAAGTGGTAGTAAACTCTTCTATAATAATTTTATAATACATATAATTATAAAGCTTACCTGTAGGTAAAATTAATATCTCCTAAACGTGCATCGTTTAGGAGATATTAGCCCTTTTTCATAGCCGGCGCATGTGCTGTGAAGGAACGGCGTACTTGTGCTGTTCCTTCAGAGCACTGTGCTGTGGCCCAGGATAACGTCATCGCAGCTTGGGCAGAGCTCGCAAACCCGGAAGGAAGACCAGGTGAAGATGGAAGCCCCAGGGAACCATGACAGTGCTCCGCAGGAGGGCTTCGTTTCAAAGTAAGTCCTCATAATGTGCTAGTATGCAATGCATACTAGCACATTATGCCTTTACCTTGCAGTGTTTTTTTGGATGCGGTTTACTACCGCTTTAATAACATGGACGTTGAACTGTGTACCTTGTAATATGTTTAGCATATTTTGTTATCTTCTAACAATGTTCTCTACATAAAGCAGAGCCTAACCCTCCTGTCCTATAGAGCCAAGGAAGCTGCCATCTTGGCCTATGTTTGATCTGCAGTTGCATTGATACTGCACATGTGATCAGGAATGACACCAGCCATGTGATGGTTTGACAGTTCGAGTGAGAGCACAAGCAACTGTGACATTTATCATTTATCACATGCCTTAGGAAACAGATAAAACAACGGGGTTTAATTTTGCTTTAACCACTTGGCGACCGCCTACCGCAGATATACCGCAGCAGAGCGGCATCGCTCCGCTGGATCACATACTGTACATGTACCTGATCTGGCTCTTCCAGATAGATGGTGTGTGCGCGCCCTGCCGCCCTGGATATGCTGTCATTTTCTACAGCACAAGCTGATCAGCTGGTTCCAGCAAACGATGTATGGCTGAGACCCGCTGATCAGCTGAGCAAATGACAGAAGAGAGCCTTACAGACAAAAGTGATGTGCCATTTATTTTTTCCATGCAGGGAGTAAAAACTGGCACATTGCTTAGTAGAAACAGCACACAGAAAATATTGTTAGGCACACAGTTATGCCTTTGATTGCCCTTAGATATTAACCCCTTCCCAGCCAGTTAGTATAGTGACAGTGTATAGAATTAGTACTATTAGCACTGATCCCTGTATTAGGCCTGGTTCACACCTATGCGTGTTTCCTGTTGCAGTCTGCTGCGGGAAAAAAGTCCCTGACACTTTCCAAAAATGCAGCATTTGAAAACACATAGAGATTGTACGCCCCTTGAGAGTTAGGGACTGATGTGACTGTACAATATATATGTAAACCACTGTGTAAATTGACGGTGCTATGTAAGTACCTGAAATAATAAATAAATGTGAATGTGTCCCATAGGAAACCATGTTAAATGGACTGTAGTGAGTTTCTGCAAAACGTAAAAACACTAAAAACAGGTGTGAAACAGGCTTCAGTGTCACTGTAGATGTCAGTGTCATTTAGTTAGTTCCCACCCAGCATAGTTAGTATCTGATTGTCCACCGCACTATCACAGTCCCACTATAAGTCACTGATCTCCACCATTACTAGTATAAAAAGTAAATGAAAACAAATTCCAGCATATATATTATAGTTTGTAGATGCTATAACTTTTGAACAAACCAATCAATATACACCTATTGGGATTTTTTTTGCCAAAGACATGTAGCAAAATACATTTTGGCCTAAATTTGTGAAGAAATTTAATATTTTTAATTTTATTGGATCTATTTTATTGCAGAAAGTAAAAAAATATTGTTTTATTTAAAATGTTATATAATAAAAAAATAAAAGAAAACCCAGTGGTGATCAAATACCACCAAAAGAAAGCTCTATTTGTGTGAAAAAAATGATATAAAATTTCATGTGGGTACAGTGTTGCATGGCGTGCCAGGTTAAGTAATACAGTGCCCAATAGAAAAAAATGGCCTGGTCATGAAGGAGGTAAAACCTTCCGGAGCTCAAGTGGGTAATGAAGTATAGCAGGCATGATTTTGTGTATACTTTTTACACCATATCATTCTGACTGACAGCACAACTAATATAGAATCAGAATAGGCAAAGCCCACCAATGTCATGCCAACAACTTTCTAACATCCACATAGTGTTTAGTGCGTAGTACTTTTTATCAGTAAGTGTAAAATCCTCCTTTCTTTTTTATCATAAACATGGTAAGTAGGATTAGGACTGTGTTTTATTAATTATTCCATTTTACAAGGTACATCTGTGACTGATATTTCCATCTTCCTGTTTATGAACATTTAATGTACTTGTAGGATTCTCAGAGTTTGCTTAATACCCTGAGACATGGTGACATGAAAATGGAAATAATTGGGGAGTCAACAGAAGAGGTAACTTAAGTCCTACATTACATTTACTATATTATTACATTTACTATATTATATATATTATATAATTGGTAATTGAGTTTCTTTAGGCACAGACCCCAAAGTGAACCTCTTCATTGGCCATACAGGGAAAGTCAGTCGATAGACCAAATTCTGTTGATCAGACTCCGACACACACGGGCCGAGAGTCAGCTGGTTGCTGCTGAACCGGTCGACTTTTGGTACGTGCATAGCCATTTTAGTTACATGCTCCCATGTACCTAGAAGTAAAGGACATTTTTTTTTCTCCCAAGAGCCAAAATTAGTTATAGGAAAATAAGTGAACCTGTTGCTGTTGCCATGCATAGACAAAGCACATGTTTGCTTTAAGGCACCTCACAGCCTCTCTCACTGATTGTGCTTAGACCATGTCTATGTTATACATATGTATATATATATAGAAAAAAATAAGTCTGTGATTGCTGTACTTAAAATGTATTAAGGAAACAAAGTATATGTACAAAGAAAATCCAGAAAAAATGCAACTTGTTCCAATAATGTCATCAACAGTTTCAGACTATAATGTTAGCGCCCTTCCTCAGGCTGGAACACACATAGATCTACAACACTGGCCATACAAGTATATATAGAAAAAGAACATATAAACCAGGAACCAATTAAGCAATCAATATATAAATAGCAATACAATTTTAATGAATTAATTTGTATCTCAAATCTCAGTGAAGGCTAACGAGATGTATTCACTCTCCTTCATTCTACGGAAGATATTCTGGTATTTACCTATTATTAAAAACATTTAAACAATTCAATAAACATAATATACAATCACATATATGTACAGAAAAATTAAGAATACATCTATGTATATATCATCAATGCATCACCATGTTAGTACAGCCAGAACCTGTTTTATGTAAGCAAAATAGTACCATGTTACCAGATGCTCCGTGCAATTTTTGGATATGCTGCTAGATATGCCATTGTTTAAAGGGTAAAAGTGAAACTATAAGTGGGTGTTTACATTCCCCATAGACACCCCACACTCAATCTCCAAATACCATGAATCAAATAAACCAAATAAAAATTTAAATGAATAAAAGAGATATGGCACCTTTCCTCCAAACTAAATTACTGCTTGCGGAGAACCATAACAACATTCACATAATACCAAAAATGAAATGCAAATATAGTGAATATTTTTATAGCTGCCCCTTTAAGAACAGGTGCGTTTCAGTTTTTTTGTAGCTGTCCCTTTAAGGGCACCTGGTGGTGCTCCCAATTGTGAAAGTGAAATTATAAGTTGGCACTTACACTCCCCATAGACACCCCACACTCAATCTCCAAATGTCATGAACCAAAATAACAAAACCAATAAATGGTGCTACATGCTGTCCAACACCAATATGGAAATACTGTTTCTGTGCCACCAAATCTTCCCAAAGTGCTTCACCTCCTGTGTCACCACAATGCACTCACCAAAGATCCATGACCTTCTAATTTGTAAGAAAAGGTCATAAAGCACTGTTAGCCCCAGATGCTCCCAACTGCTGTTCTTCACTTTTCCTCCAATCATCACTTGTCTTATGTACTTGATGTATCTTAATGCATCATTGATTGGCGCTGCACTGACTAGAATCCCAATGAACTCCTACAGCATTCTTCCCACTGACTGGTCTAGGGATTGGAACTCATGACCTCACACTTACAAGCCGTTGGTTCCTGGTAGCTTCCTCAGGATGCCACACGGTGAAACATGTAGAGACTGCTTACAGTTGTTATATCTGGCCAAATCTCTACACCACTTCCGGTTTCTGGTATTTGGAATGCACGCTGAGGTCCAGGAAGTGGAACGGTGGTGCACAGATGCTGACTGTATTGGTGCTGAGATAATGGGCACCACATTTTGTAAGTATAACATTTTAATACTTTTTATTGCCAAGTTTTAATTAAATACTGCACAATGAGAGACTCTGCTTTTGTGGTCCTTGGGTGACATTGATGAAGAGACATTGGGTACATAGGATAAGTGATGAGAAAAAGTGAGGAACAGCAGTTGGATTTCATATGGGGCTAACCAGCTCTTTATGACCTTTTCTTACAAATAAAAGGGTCATGGATCTATGGTGAGTGCATTGTGGTGACATAGGAGGTGAAGCACTTTGGGAAGATTCGGTGGCACAGAAACAGTATTTCCATATTGGTGTTGGACAGCATGTAGCAGCATTTATTGTTTATATCATTTTGGCTTATGGTGTTTTAGAGATTGAGTGTGGGGGGGGGGGGGGGTGTCTATGGGGAGTGTAAGTGCCCACTTATAGTTTCACTTGCACATTGTTTAAAGGGTG